GAAAACAACACCAAAATATAAACTTCACCCATTAAGTCACTGGGAAGAACTCATTATTTTTTAACACTACATTTGATTTCTTAGTACATAAAATCAAAAGCAGAGCTCAGATTCATTTTTCATTTAAAAGTCAACAACACAGTGTTTTTATTCATCTAAAGATAAACAGCAGATCTTCCAGCAGAGGGAAAAAATAGAAGAAAACTGGCAGGAATGACTCAGCTGTCATCTCCGCCCAGAGCACACAGCTACTGTATGTGACCTTTTCCTGGATGCATTATGGGACTTACCCGTCAGCAGAGAGGAAATATGTACAGATGTATCTCCTTAAATAAAAGTGAATACAAATATACAAGAAAAACCCCTTCATTGATAATTATCAAATGTTTCAGAATCAATAGCTGTCTGCCTCTCTTAAAAATTAGATAATAAGTACTGTTTGAACACTTAAGATGTATTTCTAAGCTTCAGCTTGATTAGGTGGTTTTAATTTGAGCTTTTTTTATATATTTATGTAGTTAATATATCTTCTATAGATTTTATTCTATAATAATGCACAATATCTTATAAGCTGATCATGTTTATTTCATGTAAAATGTTAAAAGTAACCAGAGTAGTGTAGTGAAAGTACAATATTTTACTCTGTAATGTCGCGGAATATAAACATAAAGTGGACAAAATGAAAAAAAGGTTGTTGAAATATTTATAGCACTTGAGTAAAAGTATTTTATGACTTCCTATTATGTGTCCTCAGATATAATATATGTGCGTTTTCTATCCACACAGTTATTGTATTAACGTATGTGAAGGAGATTTGTTATTGAAATGAATAACTACGTTACGTTTTTTTGCCTCATGCCAGTAGAACAAACAGCACCAGCTCTCCTTCACTTGCCCATTACACTCATCCCACAACACCGAGAGTAAAACAAGTCATACTCATGAGTGTGGATGAGAGGAAAAGTCACACACATGTCAGAAATATTTTCTTACTTTCTCCTCCATGAACCTGAAGCAGCGACAGGAGGGAGGTGAGGACAGGAAATGAATCACATCTGCACCTTCTGTTCAAATTGGGACTTTATGATAATGCCAAAAATGCAGAAGTATTATTTCATGTATGTCCACGTTAATATCCCGGTCCTTTAACACATGAGGCGGTTCCTCGAGAGGATGCACTTGAACATCACTTGAGCCTCCTTCTACTGAAGGAGACTGAATATTTGGCAGCTTGTGTCACCTCCTCTGCCATTGGCAACATGGCGGAACCAGCATCTGTTTCTGGCTTGCTGTATCAAGGAGGGGTTAGATGGGAGGAGGGGAGTGTATGAAGCACTTTTGAGACTAAATATCTGTAAGATATGGTTCTTCTATTGGATTCTGATGTTTAGAGATGATGGCTGATTTTACGTGCTTTGTTTGGTGCCACAATGAATCTCCAAGACAAAGTTTTTGGTCTGTGTGTGTGTGTGGGTGCAGAATGTTCAGTGCAGGAGGCGTACATCTGAGTGGGTTGACCTTTTTCAAACAACAGTGTATTTATGTATTTATTAGTGTGCATTGACAGGCTGCGTATTGTTCCCCACCCACTGGTTAAGTCCAGCTTTGAAGTCACACTTGGAAGGATTAGCAATCACGTCCATGTATGTCAAGGCAGAGCACACTCTCGCTCAAACAAGCAACTTGAATGATGCCTTTACAAAGGAATCAAAAACAAAAAGTTTTTATTCACCTCCAGTTGAATTATGTTAAGTTACCTAACTTTATGCCCTGTCCACACTAATGTGGATATTTTTGCAATGAAACGTTCCTCCCTGCATTTGAGCCTCTCATCCACGTGCAAATGCTGTTTTAAGTCACTAAACTAATTCCAAACGCATTAGAAAGTGCAGATTTTCAGGATCTCTAGTCTCTGTGCAACCTTATGTACATGGAAAACAGTGCATTTGGGAAACAATGACATCACAGCTTACTTAGTGTGTGCCCCCAGTTTTTGTACGTTAGGTCTACAAGTTTGGAGAAAAGTTTTGCATCACTCACCCAATATTTGTACACATTCGTATTGAGGAAGAAATACACTTTTTTACTGTCTCAATCAGAATTGACCTGACACTATTGCAGTTTAAATCGTAATCTTTGGCTGTGCAAAGGTAACAATTTCCACTTTGATTACGGTAATATGTACAAAAAGTTTAAAAACAACATCATGGTTGGCTTGGTGCATTAGCGTCAGAGTCTTGTAATCACCACAAGGAAGTTTCAACAAATAGTGCAGCATATAACCCCCTATAGCTGTGGCCTCTTTTTTCCAGGCTTTATGCTAAGATCAGCTCACTTGCTGCATAGCTTCATATTGATAATGCAGACATGGAAGTTGCATCAATTTTCACACAAAATGAAGAGGTTTTCTTTAATGTGCAAGTTATATATATAAATGTGTGTGTGTGTGTGTGATGTTTTTGGATCCAGTGTTGCCAAATAATGAATGCTAATATTAATGCTTAATGCTCACCTCACTCCATAGAGATATTTCACTTCTTTCAACTCAGGCCGACTTTTTGACGACTGTTCTTAAATGTCTTTTTAATTTCAGACTGGCATGTGTTCCAAGACCTAATAATTCAGCCTTTGGCACACAACTCTTTGGAAACGCGATTGTTAAGATGTTGTTGTAGTTGCGTGAACCCTGTGAAATTAACAATGTCGGAGCGGTGCGCCTCGTTGATTACATTGTTACTAAGATGTGGGAAGTCAGCTGTGGAGGAGCCCTTTATGGGTTTTGGCATGTAGAGGGCGTTCGCAGCCAAATATTCAAAAACTTTCAATTTCACAGATCTGAGTAAAGAGCGTTCAGTGATGCAATGAAGTGATTCAAAGAGGCAGAGATCACAGCGTTTGTTGAGTTCGATAAGTGAAAGCCTGAAAATCGTATTATGACTCCACAGAGGAAACTTGAGTGTTTTAGTTTTCTGCATTATCACAGGATTTCTCTAACTTTTGTGGAAAAAAAGCTGTTTATGACATGGCTCAGTTCAGCACCTTGTGGCACCATTAAAGGATGTGCTTGCATTAAGACTAGAAGCTAACAATTTCCTGATAAAATCCCACTTCTCTCAATACTTTAAGTCCCCTCTACTGACCTTCCTGCTGTCAGTAATAGTCATAACACACATTTACCCAGTCAATAGTGCACAGCGTCTTAAAAAAAATCAGAAAATCCATAATGTGAAATGTGATTTCCTCTTGTTTCCGGACATACTTTTGGGACAAACGCAGGACAGGCAGCCACCACTGTGCTTAGTAGATTAGACTCCTCTACTTCTTCCTGTTTCATTCCATCCAGGTGCATACTGGGAACGCTGCCATGTATATCCCTTGGTGCACAACAGTACAGCGCAGCTGTGGAAGCCACCTAAATTTGATTCCTCTCGTCGTAGCCTAGCAACGGTGGGTATTAGCGCACACAAGCTGGATGGGTGCAGTTCTGGTGCCAGAGGCAGGATGGGCGCCTGGTTGCAGCTCATTGGCAGATGACATTGAGTGAAAGCTGGCATTCTGAGATTAGGGGATCAGATGCTCACAGTGCTCTTTGCAGGAAGTAGTATGAAATGTAAAATCAATGCCAAGAGGGCTTGACAGGTTCTTTACACTTGACGTAAGATGTACACAGATACACCATTTATAATGATGTTACAGAGCACGTAATCCCATGCCACATGAACTCAGTTTTAATGTGTGGGGATACTTAATTTCCTTTTTTTAAGATTCCAGGATCTTAAATGAAAATGCAATATTTGCTGTTGTAGAAGAAACACAAGGAGCATTATAAAAAGGGTTATCAGATCCTGGCTCGCTCTGCAGACTGGAAAAGTTGCCAGATATTTTGGGGGCCAGATTCCTGATGTCACCTTTACGACTGATTTACTTTGAAAACACTTTGTTTAGAGTTGATGATTGAGTTATTTAGATTAGGGAGCATCCTGGCAACATTGAGGTCTAAATTGTGTACCATGCAAACAAGACTTGGTTTGTTTCTGGTTTGAATCCAACCCAGGAACTTTGTTACACGTCTGTCTTGTACCTACAAAAATTCCTTTCCAAAAATAAAATATAACTAGCTAAAAAAAATACACCTCTTGTGGATTTAAAGCACAAGCCAGTAGCATTTCCACTGGCTTGAGGCCGCTGAGTGGGGGGAGGGCCGCTCTCCCCCGAAAGCGTTGGCAGCTACGCTAGCTTCTGTTTGCTAGAATACCAGATGCCTCACGCCACATGCTTCAACCACTTTGATTTCATCTCCGTGCAGTTGTTGATCAGATCTGTCTCTGTTTGACGCAACCTGCCTCCCATCTCCCTCATAACTTTCATCTTCTCCAAGCTGGGCAGGCGGCCGCGGCTGTCTTGAGATGTCACCCGGTGACGTGCAGCGTCCATCTGGTATATGTTGTGAAGGGCCCGGATGAATGAATGGCCAGCCACTCCACTGCTTCCTTTATGACTCTCAGCAGTGGTGCTGTCCAACTTTGATTCCCCAGTTATTAGGGAATCAAATTCCCCACTGAGGCGACGCCCAGAGGAGAGGAAGAAAAAGAGACACACAAAAAGAGTGTGAAATCCGTGGCAGGGCTACAGAACATACTGTACAGCCCACCACTGCTCTCTTCCTGGTGCCTCTTCTCTCTTTGTGTGTGCCTATGAACACATTTACACCACACTCAGTGCTCAGAAATTGAAAGTTGTTGTAAATATTTGAGGCAGTAATACAGTATATTATATAGATTCTTAATCTGAGGTGTCAAAGTGTATGAATCTTGTTTTTTGATGAAGGCAAGATGACATTTTAGGCTTTTTTAGAGCGCAGGGGTTCTGTAAAAAGCCATCTGAAGGTCATGTAATGAACCAAGCACCCTGCAACAGAGACAGACTAAACTAGGTGGATAAACCTCAGGGGATTTTCCTTCATCTTAAAAACTATCGACCGTTTCCCTCTGAATTTAAAGGGCTCCTACTGGATCCCATCAGAAGGGGATTAAAGAGGAAAAGGGCAACTAGGATCACTTGGAGAGCAGACCCCTTCCACTTGAGCCAACACTCAAGCAGGGATGAAGTGCAGGCGCAGAGACGACCCAGAGGGAGAGCGCGCAGAGGGAAGGGAGAGACGGGGAGGTGGCATAGTTTGGATTCCCAATATGTGTCCGGGGAATCCGAAGTGAGGCCAGATGGCACAGGCCTGTCGGTCTTTGGGAATCACAGCATACGGTGGCGGCACGCATGGCAGAAGGTAGCGGGAAACAGTACCGGGGTCAGCTCTTGATGTTGGACGCTCCCCGGAGCGGTTCCTTCCATCCCTTTGAACAAGAGAGCATCTCCACACTACTGCGCCGCGTCCCTGCTTAATGCGGCAGTTGACTTCAAACGCCACGCAATTCCCTCCTGCCCAAAGCCTCCTGAGTTCTAAACATATGTTTTCAGACCTGATGAAAACACAGTGCCAATAACATGCCACTGAGCGCCACGCATGGACATATGTGTTCTGTTTTCTCCAAACTTTCATCTCGTACAATTTAATTTGACTCACTGCTGAAGCTGACATGTGGGAGCTACGTCACGAAGCTACGGAGAAGCGGCGGAGTCGCTTCTCAACGCCTGTCATGCCAGCGTGCTTTGCTATAGCGAAGCGCGATATGATGGCAGCCAATTATATCTGTCAGCTTTCTGAGACAGATGTCCAATATAACCTGGTTAGTGCTAATAGGCAGATTTTTAAACAAGAGTAATTATTCATCGCTCACAGACCAGTAAAAGAGACGGATGCTAATATCTGATGCTGAATGTGTGTGACAGGTGTTACCACCAATTTCCCCCAGTCTCCTGTGGCAGCGCTCGCTATGAAAACATCTTAAAACACATGTGTGCACTCACATTGTAGTGATCTCACACATTTTTAACACATACTCTTTGACTTTGGGAAAGAAGCAGTTCTGCATGTGCATACTGATTATCCTCCTCTATTTCTGACAAAATAACAGTTTTTTAGAAGCCAAGTGTGGTGTTATGCTTGTCGTTGCATCCCCATATCCGTGTATAGACTAAGATCCCCTCATTATTCTCATTAATTGTCCATCTGTCATCTTGGCAGAAACCCACTGGTATAGAGTTAGCTATGATTAACATTTAATCTATATGATTTTCTCATGAAAGCAGGGCTACCGAGCTCAGTAATGATTGATTTGTTCGCATTTTTAATAATGGCTTGTGCTGTTGACAGAGACATTTAACTGTGCGCCGATTGTGATGCAATTGTTTTCTGAAATTCATAAAGCGCTACGTCTTCATATTTCTCAGCAGTGTTTGTCTGAAGTAATGACTGTAGTCACACACACTGTATGGAGGATTAAAAACGCTCTTACTCAAATGTCAGTGATGCCACTGTTGTAGTTTACATTTTGAAATGGTGCGTAGATAATCCATCTTTGTTAATTTTTACAGTTGAGATGCGTTTTAGTTGTATTGCAAACTCCACATTGTTCGGATGAATATACAGGTGATACTGTGTTTCCCTATCTGTCAGCCAATGCATGCTGGGATGCATTCAACCCCCCTGAACAGAAATAAGCAAGTAAAGAAAATGAATAGATACAGTGTCTCACTTTCACTTTGACTGTTTACATATCAGTTAGGTTTATTTATTTCATTATATATATTTGATATATATTTTAATATATTTTGATATATTATTATTATATTTTTAATTTTACATTGTTTTAGTTTGTTAGTTATCAGCACTCAATGGACAGTAAAGCTACACTCTGTCAGCAGCCACACTGCTACACTGTCACTGTCACCTGTCAGTACTAGTTCACCATTCGCCGTTAGCCTGAACACTGCAGCTGCAACATGATTGTTTACTTTATCTTACAATCCCAAGGACTGCTCAGCTACCTGCCGTGTATTGGTTCTGTGTGCAACGCAGAAATCAAACTCTTGGCCGTGGCTCAGGAGGGAGAGTGGGTTGTCCACTAACAAGAAGGTCGGTGCTTCGATCCCTGGCACCTGCAGTCTGCCTTTCCAAAGTGTCCTTGGGAAAGACACCGAGCCCCATATTGCCCCTGATGTCTGCGCCAAAATTGTATGGGCTGTATTGGAAAAAGTGCTGTGTATAGAGGCACTGTAGGAATGTGTGTGTGGGTGGTTGGATACGACTTGTACTGTGACTTAACAAGCTTTTGTCCAGGTGCATTAGAGAACTTAAACAAGTGCAATACAATCCAACAGTGCAACAGCATGTGCAATGTTACTATTATTAATAATAATAATAATAATGATAATAATAATAGTAATAATAATAGTAATAATTGAGTAATATCCCACATTTTATTCTATAAATTGTTTGTTTTTATATTCATATCATTAGACTGTAATGTGTCTGATAGTTATGTCACCGTGTAGCATGTAAATATAGTCAATTTATCATTTAACAACTTCTTATATTCACAGAATGTATTTTAAGGTGTTTAGATCAGATCCTGTAATTTTTATTTTATTTTACGATGTCTAGAGAGTGACTGACTGAACTGATGCTAAATATTGATAATTAGCTATATGAACATACTGGATGCCCCTCCACAGCTCTGCAAGGAAACTGAAAGACATATTGATTTTCTTATTGAGGCCCAGCTTTATAATCTTTTAAATTGTCTCTTCCAACTCTTCCTCAACAAAGATTTCCACTAGTTAAGTACTGATAAACCCACCATATCCATATAGCAAAATTAAAATACCTCTGCTCCTCACCCTACGGATGCCTCAAGACGCCAACTTGCGTCGCAGTTGTCAGCATGAGCGCCATGGATCTGGAACCTTCCATAGGCTCTCCTAGACATCTGCCGCTCATGGCAGCATGAATAGGGCTGTTGGCTCGGGTTCAAGCGTATGAGAGTCGCCCTTTTGTCGGCTAGCGGCCCATTGTGGAAAGATAGGAGGATGGTGTTTATGGTCGCCGCTACCTTCGTGGCCCCCACAAGGAGGATAATTAGATACAGTTGTTATCAGTGACAGCCGAGGGCCACGAGGAGCCTGTGCCTCTGCTCTGATCCTCCCAGGGTGAGAGAGGAGATTGGGATGACGTGAGGACAGTGTTGACTTGAAAGCTTTTCTAATTGAGTAGAAACCACATACTCTGTGACTGTGATATGTAAAATGTGCAGGGGATATGACATGAATTTTAGATTGTAATTAGTCAGTTGGTCAAGGAGGACGTGGGGAATCCTCTCGGGCTCTCACTTTTGTTTAGTTTGCAATTTAAAGGGGCCAAAACAAAACTCATAGAACCAGTTAACTGTCCTGTTTGATAAGTTAAATATAAGCTCATGCATCTTGCAGCAGTCAGGCCTCCAGACGAATAAAGGGGAAATTTATAGATATCGTCTGTTTAAAAATGTGAAGAAACGAAAACATTACTTTGGGTAATTAATATACAGAATTTTAAATTAAATCTCCTTGATTACTTTTTCCTCTCCCTCTCTTTTGCACCACTGAGAATAAGAAGTTTTGATCTGGAATATACCTTTTCTTTCAACTTTGACATTTCTACGTTACCCGACCAACCTTCCCCCCTACACACAGATGCCATTCATTCTTATCTCACTGCTCAGACCAAACATAAAAGCGAATCAGTGGTGGCACAGTTTACCCAATAACCATTCTGGATGTGGCACAACATCTTAATTGATTTGTTCCAAAACCAGATGAAGTGACTCGCAAAAAAACTGCACTATATGCCCCTAGATAAGTGCAAGGAAACATGGCTTCTGCTTTGAAGAGTATCCAGCAATTATGTTTGGTATTTGTGGACAAACGTCATTGTTCATGGAATTTAGGGTCGATGCGGAGGCCCGTACAGATGATTTATGTATTCAGCTGGGGATGGGGGTGGATAAAATGGGCAAATTTCATCTGGCTGTAGAAAGCTCCAGCCCAGCGGGCCTAGAGGAGGCTTAAATATAAGCAGGACGGGTGCCAGGTCCTCTCCTCGGCCATTGTGCTTTAATTAACCTACATAGGAGCTGACTGCTTAAATGTGCAGTGATAGATAAGGCCCCTTGGATGATTGATTTATTTACTGCACATGCTAGTGATTTCCATAACATTACTACCCCAATTACTAGCCATATGAGGCACAAAAGTCATTAACAGCCAGCCTCAATGTATGTATGGCCATGAATGCATCGACATTCACTAAAACACCCATTAAGGTGCACGTCAGCTCCCAAAAACATGAGCAAGCTTCGTGAAGCTGGAAACCCGGAGGAGAGATCAAGATCGGCCAAGGTCAGCGATGTTTCAGGGCAGAGCAGCGAGGAGCAGCTATGCAGAATGATCAAGAGAACGGTGGATCCACGACTCTTGGAGACACTGTTTTTACAAAAGCACACAGGGTCCTGCTTTGTCAAGAGGAGGCTGGCATGGGCCCAGCAGCAATCTGAGGCTGTGATTGCAGCAGAACGTCTCCATCAGAGAGCACTAGAAGGTAACGGTGGGATTAAACTGGGCACTGCTGGCACATACAGGCGGGCAGGGTGTTTCTTCTTTTTTTTTCGCTAGGCCATTGTTCCATATGTGCCCCACCTGCGCCTCTCAGAGCCTCGCGCCAAACACACGGCCAGCAGGCTCTAGCATCCTCGCTGATTGGAAGTTGCCATGGCGATGCTGGAAGCCAGCACTGAAAAAGGGGGGGTGCGCTATAAATCTCAACATGGTATTTTTTTAATTTAGGAAATTGGCAAAGGAAGTGTGGTAAATGAATCGTCGTTAATAATAATTCACATATGGGACAAAACACAATTAGGCTGTTTTTGGCTACAGGCAAAGAGTGATCTCATCTCATCAAAGACACTTCAGCTCCACCAGTAGTCCTGAGTGAAGAGATAGTGTGCCTCGGATCTGATAATGATGTTTATGGAAATAATATCACTGCAGATTATTGTTGGACACAGAGCAGCGAGATGGAGACATCAATCATGTCATGATATCCCATTAATTGATTCCTTATCAGCTCATTCAAATGGATGGTGAGAGTGATTCAGTGCACTGGCTTATTAAACAGCTAAAGTAAAACTCAAATTTATTTTTTCCCTGTTGGAAGGTTACCCACAACCCAATGCTCCTTGGTATGGTAAGGTATTTTTTTCATAAAGTGTTTGGAGTGCAGAGGAGAGCGAGCAGCAAAGCTCACCCGTAGCTTTTAATAACATGATGGCCACCATCCAGTTTCAGACGAGCACTGGGATTGGCTGATCTCTTCACACCCTGGCACCTGGAGCAGCCAGAAGTGTGTGTATATTTGTGTGTATGTGCATGTGTGTGTGTGTGTGTGTGTGTGTGGGTAAGTAAGAGAGGGAGAGGGTGTTATTGGTGGCTGCACTATTGGAGGCGTGACATGACGAGAATCAAAGGCCCTCACCTGCAACCGAGTGAGCAGGAAAATCATTAAAATGGTTTCAGGCCAAAAGCCTTTGCATAAAATCCAGAAACTTTTAGTTTAAGAAGCATTTTCTTCCAGTGTTAAACTCTAAAGTTCAAAAGTACGTTCAAGAAAATTCTTGGCTTGGGTTGTGGTATTTTGCAGCAGGTGTGTGAGGGAATATGCGAGGAGAAAAACCTCCCCGGTCTACAATCAGCAGGGCTCTGCAGACTCTTTGGGTGATGCAGATAAAGCCGCAGTGATGCTCACAACTCGCAGTGGTGACCCGTGTATTTGCGTATGATTAGCACCCCCTGCTGAAAACGGCTGTGCAAATATGATATGTACATTTGCATGTTTGTTGTCATTCATTTGACCATTAATCCATAATCCAAACTAAACTGCTGGTAAACAGTATTGCGCGGGTGTGTGTTTGATTGTTCAGCTGCAGTCACGGGATCATCCAGCGGGCTTTAGGGTGGAGATTGCCGCGTCGATAAAGATGAATTTTAGAATTTATGCCATTTCCTGATGTAGAAATCTGTTCTGCTCTATCAGGAATAGGCAGAAGTGTTTACTGTTCTGATCTCAGGATGTGTTTCTTGAGTTGGCGCATGTTTGTGGGGCTCCTCTCCTGGCTTATCCGGTGAGGATGTGACCTATCCAAGTCATTGAAAATGCAGAGTAGCAACAGACAAACTGA